TTCTAATTTTTGAATTTCTTTGGGGTCAAAAGAACCATTTTTTGGAAAATTAAATTTGGAATGCCACTGTTGAACAAAACTGAGACATGAATCTCCATGTATTCTGCGCATCCGGTCAGCTTCTGGACCGCAAGGAATGTAATCCTCTGTTTTACTATTTCCTGCTTACGTTTTATCGCTCAGTCTCTTTCTATTGAGACTTACCTGGATTTGGTTTCACAAATCTACCTCAGTTTTAAATGATTAAAACCTACTTTGTTACTATTTTATTTCTCAGTCCTTTTAGAGGGACCTACCTCGATTTTATACAAAATCTACCTCAGTTTTAAATGATTAAAACCTACTTTGTTATATATTAAAAAGTTTTTCAGTTTACCTTAAGTAGTTGTGTCTCAGCCAAAAGTTCTCAGTCTGTTTCGAATTCTGTCGAGGTCGAATCCTCCCGATGGAAGACCAGAACGTCCCCTCGCTCTCAAAGACTAGAAGAGGTTTAGAGGAAGAATCCTGCGATTCTTGGTGATCAATCCTCGTCCTGGGTCCACCGAGCGGACGGACCAGCGAAGAATCCTGTTCTTGACGCCAAATTGTGGAGTTTTATCAAACTTTGTTGTTCAATAAAATTTAGTAGACTGAGAACTTAGTTTAAAAAACACGTAACAAGGTTTATTTCTCTTCTGCAGAAGGAGAGAACACATGGAATGAAAACGCAGCCCAAGAATTCTTGTGTGTTCTCTAAAAAACATGAGCAATGCAGCTTCATTTATACATCTTCACACGTAACAGATCTTGCTTTGACACAACAGGCGTTACCTCATTTGCAATCTTATCAGAGAAAAAACAGACAGTACGTTTGTGGTCAGTGACTGGTTCTGGAGCTGGGTTTGAGAAACGGAAGTTACAAAGCTTGACACACTGATGCTGAAGGGATTTAGCTGATAAGCTTTAACAGAGTGTGATATAAAGTAAATGACTAATAAGTGTGATGATAAACTTGACGAACAAAATAAACTGGTATCAATGTTTTCATTTCCACAAAGTACTAATCCTTTCTGAGTCTCAGAGCTAAAACTGCAGGCAAACACTTTAATTATCAATTTAAAGTAAACTGTAATTTGTGTAAACATATTAAACTTTTATATTAATAACCCAGAAAATATCAACAAAACCCAAAGCAATTCTAATAAAGTTTTATTTACAGTATATATCAAGTGGAGCATTAAGGCCAGCCATAATGCTCTGCTTGTGAAAGTAAATCTGTTGGACCTCATCTTGACACTCAGACAATAATTGTGAGTGCCACAATGCCGAACAGGACAAGTGGGGAAAAAAAAGGAAGGTCCGTGATCTTGGTGCCATTTTAAAGGTTATGTTAGGATGAGTTAAATGAGCTCTACCTCGTCGCTGCCACTTACTCCTACAAGCTGCAACAGGTCATAGAGTGAGCAACTTGCACCCCAATGACTTAACATTGAAAATGTCTGTGACCTCTGTACCTGCTGTTGTGCACTTACAAGCCTCAAGCTCTGCAGGTCCCATCATATGCATATTCTTAAGACACCCTTAAGGCTTAAAGAGTTTTCTTTTTAAGCAAGCCTATTCTGCCTCCACATGATTGTATCATTGATTTTAGTTGTTTGTATCATTGATTTTAGTTGATTTTATCACAGATTTTAGTTGATTGTATCATTGATTTTAGTTGATTTTATCACAGATTTTAGTTGATTTTATCACAGATTTTAGTTGATTGTATCATTGATTTTAGTTGATTTTATCACAGATTTTAGTTGATTTTATCATTGATTTTAGTTGATTTTATCACAGATTTTAGTTGATTTTATCATTGATTTTAGTTGCACTCTGTAGCACTTTGAGATTTTTGTTAATGAAAAGTGCGGTACAAATTAAATTCATTATTATTATTATTACCCTATAAATTTAAAACAGCCCGCTTCTTTCTAACTGACATTATAAGTCTTTCAAGTTGAAACCTGATTTGTTTGTTGGCTGTTCCCAGAGCATGTTTGCCCTTCCTGATTTGCTTAGCAACATCTAAGGCAGGTGATCTTGGTACCATTGGAAAGGTAACATTAAGACAGTTTGACTAAGCTCTCCCTCATCTCTGTCACATTCTCCTACGATCTAAGGTTTGAGCAATTTATACCACCTATGGTTAACATTGAAAATGTCTGCGACCGCTGTACATGCTGTAAGCATGTACATGCCTGAAACTGCAGTCACCTTCAGATGCTTAAGACACCCTGTAAATTTGAAGCAGCCAGATTCTTCCTGACAGAAATTACAAGGCAATGAATTTGAAGCCTGTCTTGTTTTTTGGCTGTGCAGAGTGTGTTTGCCTTTGCTCCTTCGCGTAGGAAGGTCTGAGCCAGCTGATCTTGGTACCAATGAGAAGGTCAAATTAGGACAACTCTACTAAGCTCTCACTCATCTTTATCATGTTCTCCTGCGAGCTGCAAAAGGTCACAGAGTGAGCAACTCATGCCCCAATGATTTAACATTGAAAATGTCCGTGATCGGTTTACCTGCTGTTGTGCACGTACCAACCTGAAGTTCTGTAGGCACCATAATATGTAGATGCTTAACTCACCCAGAAAATTTGAAGCAGCCTGCTTCTTTCTTTAGAATAGATTTAAACTTTTATCATTTGTTTTCAAAGCTCTGAATGACCTCGCTGCTCCTTATAGAACAGAGTTGTTCAGCTCCAGGTCTCTGAGGTCCGACAGCTCCTACTCTCTGTTCCCAGCACAGAATATAAACTCTGGGGGACCGTGGCTTTTCTGCAGCCGCACCTCGACTCTGGAATAAGCTCCCACTTGATCTACGTCAGATTACTGAACTGGGCCCTTTTAAATCGAAGCTTAAGACTTTTTTATTCCAACAGGCTTTTAGTACTTAAATATGTTTTGAAGCCTGTCTTTAATTTTGTATGCTCAAAATTTGTCCTTCCTCTGTTGTGTAAGAAATTCTGATGCAGTTGATCTTGGTACCATTGGGAAGGTCATGTTAAGACGAGCTGAACGAGCTCTTCCTCATCTCTGCCACATTTTCTTACAAGCCGCAAAAGGCCGTGGAATGACCCACTCGCGCCCCAATGATTTAACATTGAAAATGTCCGCGTCTGTTGTACCTGCTGTCATGCACATACAAGTCTGACACTCGGCAGTCATCTTCATATGTAGATGCTTAAGACACCCTGTAAATTTGAAGCAGCCAGATTCTTCCAGATTATTTTTTATAGGGCTTTTGAAGTTGAAGCCTGTCTTGTCTTTTGGCCTTGCAGAGGCTGTGTTTGGCCTTCCTCTATTGCATAGGAATGTCAGAGCCAGGTTATATTGGTATTATTGGAAAGGTTTGGACTAATGTCCGAATGAAGTGAAACGAAAAATGAAAAGTGACAGTAAAAATGCTAAAAGTAGAGAAACTGGGGCAAAAACCTGCAGGGATATTGAAATTACCACCCAACGTCAAAATTTCCTGAAACATATGCACCTGCAAAAACATGGAAATTGCAATCCATTGTCAAAAAGCAGAAAAAAACAATATCTTTATTACCAAGTAGAAAGCAGAAATATGTCACACACATTCATTCAATATATTAGACAGACTGTAGAACAGCATGTGCAACACATGTATAATCAAACATGTATATTGGAGATATAAAGATAGACAGCAATGGGCATGCACAAACCATCCATCCGTTATCTTTACCCACTTATTCCATTTTGGGTCACGGGGGTCGCTGGTGCCCATGTCCAGCAATCACTGTGCGAAGGGCGGGGGACACCCTGGACGGGTCTCCAGTCCATCACAGGGACACATAGAGACAAACGAGAAAAACAACCATTCACTCTCTCATGCACACCTAGGGACAATTTAGAGTTACCAATCAGCCTAACATGCATGTTTTTGGTCTGTGGGAGGAAACCGGAGCACCTGGAGAAAACCCACGCATGCACGGAGAGAACATGCAAACTCCACCCAGAAAGGCCCCTGGACCGGGGTTTGAACCAGGGACCTGCTCGCTGAGAGGCAGCAGCTCTACCAGTTGTGCCACCGTGCTGCCCCATGCACAACCACCTACTTCATATACTGTATATGACACAGCGCCACCAGAGGTGAACCAGAGCACTACACTGCCTCAACCCGCTTGTTGTCACAGGCAATGCATAAATTCCACGATTTTGACCACTGAAGTGTTGAAATAATTCAGAAAACACTTTTATAAAACAGTCAAGTGGTCAAATGTATTTTCTCTTTTCACTGTCAGTATTTTACTTGTCATGATGACAGGTGAGGCACTGCCTCACTTACCTCCTCTGACTGCATGTCACTGATGCTTTTTGACTTTTGCTCCTTTTAGTATCTAGTTATAAATTTGCTACATTAACGTTTTAAAGTTTTTAGCTACTGTCTTCCTTTTTTCTTACTCTCACCAAGATTTTAGCTACAGTTTTGCTCATTTTAGCTTTTAGCTGTAGTTTTGCAATGTTAATTTTTAGCTATGAGTTGGCAAATTTTAGCGTTTAGAAACAGATATGGTAATTTTAGCTTTTAGCTATGGGTTTCTACATTTAGCTTATAGCCATTCTTTGCTAAATTTAGCTCTTGTTGCTATGGTGGTGCAAATTTTAGCTTTAAACTTTCATTTTTTTCATATATTTATTCATAGCAATTCATTTTTTGCCTTTTCTACAATTTTCAGAAAAAATATTAAGCTGTATTTTTGCAGAAACTTCACATTTCTTTAGTTTAAACAGCTGCTAATGGATTTGTTTCTGGATCCATACCAGAATGTTTACATTTACACTTTCCCTTTGTGGCACTTTGATTTATTTTGCAAGTGATAAAAGAAACATTAAACTAACAGACCATCCATGTCTGATGATGATGCCTCCAACTGATCACAAAGGTTTTTCCTCTGTTCTTCCATCATTGCATGTCATATCTTCTAGCTGAGTCATGAAGCTGCAAAGGAAGAAGGATCAGCTGAAGTCCCGGTTTGTGAGGCTCATGGGTGCCACCAAGGTCCAGATGTAAAGGGCCAAGCATAACCAGCTAGAGGATATTTTCACCCACACAGCTGGCCACTTGCTGGTAATGGTGTAATCTGCATCAGGGCTGAAAAGTGAAACAAAAACAAGATAAAGTATTTGTTTACCTTAAAGATGAAATAATAAGGTAGAATAAACAAGCAATACAGCAAAGTCCCCTATCACTGAAGGATTTGAATAGTGAATGCATTTTGTTTTCGAGATTAACGTTTTCTGGACTGAAATTGAGAAAGAAATGTAAGTAAATCTTAAGCGCAGTGACAAATCCTGGTGAGTGAAAAGAGCAATTTTATCCACAACCAGGCGCAAAGACAGAAACAGGGGGTGTCCAGTGGTGGCCGTGGCCCTCATAGATTATCCTTCGACCACCCCAATTATTTCAAGAAACTATAGTTTTAGCAGAGGTGGAAAGAGTACTAAAATAACATACTCAAGTAGAAGTACAATTACTCTGTCGGCCTTCTCAATAACTTTTTGAGTAGGATGCTAATGGTTCAGAGTGGGAGCTCATAGTTTCCCTACATCCAAACATTCAGTAGATGTTCTGTGCAGTGAACATGTTGGTGAACGCACTGTTTAAACACTGATCACTGATGAAAATGTCTCAACAGCATCACAGACGTGAAGAGTTAAGAAATCATAATCAACAGCAGCTGTCAATCAATTTGTAGAGGAGATAACACACATTTTCAATATTATTTCACAATGAATTTATCTTTATCCTTTATCTTGCAGCAGTCCCAGCTGAATGCATGATGCTTAAAACTATGTTTTCTCTAACTCATGAAATCTGATCCACATCAAAAGTATCATATTGTAAATAAGTAGAGTAAGTAGAGTAATGTGTAGTAAAGTAGATGGTAATGTGAATTATTTGATCACTGGATGTGCAAACAGTATGTTTCTTAACGGTACTAGTGAGGAAGAAATAATGAAGGTAGTTGGACAATTTGCTGATAAAAGATCCAATGATTGTGAAGGAATGAATAAGTAATGTTTTGGAACCATTTACATATATCTGTAATTTATCATTTTCTAAAGGCATTTTCCCAGAAAGAATGAAAATAAAAAGGTGATTCCAATTTTTAAAAATGGTGAGAAAAGTTTATTTAGAAATTATAGACCTATATCGTTGTTGCCACAGTTTTCTAAAATTCTTGAAAGATTATTTGTGTCCAGGCTGGACAAATTTATAGATAAACATAATACTTTGAGTAATGAGCAATACGGTTTCAGATCTAACAATTCAACATGTCTGGCTCTGATGGGTTTAATGGAACAGGTTACTACAGCGATAGATGAGAAGCAACATTGTGTAAGTCTATTTGTTGATTTGAAAAAGGCTTTTGACACCATTGATCACACTATTCTGCTTGAAAAATTGAAACAATATGGTATTAGAGGTCTAGCCATACAGTGGACATCTAGCTATTTAAACAGAAGAAAACAGTTTGTTCAGATTGATGAGGTTAGATCTGGTTTGTGTAATGTGTCATGTGGAGTACCTCAAGGTTCAGTTCTTGGGCCTAAGCTGTTTATTTTGTATGTAAATGATTTAGTTAAGGTGTCTAGTATTCTCAAGTGTGTTTTATTTGCAGACGATACTACTTTCTTTTGTTCGGGTAAAGACTTAAATCAGATGTTTGAATTAATGAAGATTGAGTTTGTAAAAATTCATACTTGGTTTAAATTAAATAAATTATCACTTAATCTAGAAAAAACAATTATATGATATTTAGTAAAAAAAGCCATCTATAGATTTTCCTTTCGAAATTGATGGTGTTGTGATAGAAAGAGTGAATGAAGTAAAGTTTCTGGGAGTGATTATAGATGATACATTGACATGGAAAAAACATATTAATTTTGTAAGAACTAAAATTTCCAGGTCTATAGCAACGCTACATAAAGTACGAGAATGTCTGACTGATAAAGCATCGTGTCACTGTACAATACAATTGTTGTGCCACATTTGATTTATTGTGTTGCTCTCTGGGGTACAGCTTGTAAAACTGCAACCAAGTCTATTTTTATTTTACAAAAAAAGAGTTAGAAAAGTTGGGCAGCACGGTGGCGCAACTGGTAGAGCTGCTGCCTCTCACTGAGCAGGTCCTTGGTTCAAACCCCGGTCCAGGGGTCTTTCTGGGTGGAGTTTGCATGTTCTCTCCGTGCATGCGTGGGTTTTCTCCGGGTACTCCGGTTTCCTCCCACAGACCAAAAACATGCATGTTAGGCTGATTGGTAACTCTGAATTGTCCCTAGGTGTGAGTGAGAGCGTGAATGGTTGTTTGTCTCGTGTGTCTCTATGTGTCCCTGTGATGGACTGGAGACCCGTCCGGGGTGTACCCCGCCCCTCGCACAGTGATTGCTGGACATGGGCACCAGCGACCCCCGTGACCCAAAATGGAATAAACGGGTAAAGATAATGGATGGATGAGTTAGAAAAGTTATCGCAAAAAAGCATTATCGCCATCCTTCAAGTATTTTGTTTTATCAACTGAAAATTCTTAAGTTTTATGATTTGGTGGATTAAAATATTCTATTATTTATGTACAAGGCTCAGAACCAAAAGTTACCATCAAACATACAAGTGTATTTCGATAAAAGGAATAGTTGTTATAATTTAAAGGGAACGGATATTTTTGTAAAGATGAAATATAGAACAAGTTTTAAGGGTAGGTCTACTTCGATCAAGGGAATGAGTTTATGGAATGGTTTGGATAATGATATCAAAAAGGAGAATTCATTAGTTGTATTTAAAAAAAAGATTAAGAATGCATTGATGATGAAATATATTTAAGTTGGATAATGGTATGGAATTATAATGAATTGTGATAAGTTTTATGGTTGGTTGTTTTATGTATTGTTTGAATAGATCGTTTTGAATTGATATTGTTTAGAAGGGGCAGAAATGATAAGAATTAGTTCTTCTTCTGCTGCCTTTCATTTTATATGTATCTTATTTTATTTGTATGGAATAAGTCTTGTTTTAACTGAAATGAAATGAATGAATGAATAAATAAATAAATAAATAAATCTTGGCTTCGTTGCAGTCTCCCATCCTGAGCAAGCACAGTGGCAACAGTGGAAAGAAAAACTCCCTTTTAAAAGGAAGAAACCTCCAGCAGAACCAGCTCAGGACAAGAGACCATCTGCTTTGACCGGTTGGTTGAGAGGACAGGAAGGAGAGACAGACGAACACAGAATGGTAGGTCCAGGTATAGGTCCAGGTCCAGATATAGGTCCAGGTCCAGGTGTATCTGAAAGAGAAAAAATCACTAAAAATCACTATCTTTAGGCTCCTCAATGATAACTGTCAAAAACAAGCTTTCTCAATGACTTTAGAAAAAAAAATCTAAGTAAGATAAAACAATTAAGCAGTGGTCCGAACTTGTTGCGTTATTGGATGTAATGTTTGGTCACACAACCAGAAAGAAAAAGATCGAAAACGGACATTCATTTCATTGTTTTCTCTCCTGGAAACAATGCGACGGCGCTCATGTATCGGACCAAACAAAAAGGAGACGAATGGCTTGGATGTCAGCGGTGAGACGTCCTGATATAACTTCAAAAAGCGTTCAATACAAAAACAACTGGACTTTATTTGTAACAGAAGACGTTTCGCTCCTCATCCGAGGAGCTTTCTCAATTCAAAGAGCAGAGAGTGAGAGATTCAGGTTATAAGACTGAGCGAGATAAGACACACACACATATGTAGATTGGCAGTTCACACCTAAACACCTAAACAGTAGGTCTTTGTTCCTCTAATTCACAGACGAGGCCCCTCTGTTCCCATCAGGTGTGAAAACCGGCTGGGAATCTGTTTTAAAGTTGCATGATAGGTTTTTGAAAGTGGAAATCTGAGGCCTCCTCCTCTGTTAAGAGACGGCTTTTCTCTTTTTACATAAATTGCTTCCTTCACCCCCCTCTCAAACCATCTGTGTTCTCGGTCCAAAATGTGCACATTTTGGTCCTCAAAAGAGTGTCCCTTCTCTGTGAGGTGGAGGTGAACAGATGAATCTTGTCCTGACAAAGTAGCTTTCCTGTGTTGAGCCATGCGTCTGTGAAGAGGCTGTTTAGTTTCTCCAATGTAGAGGTCTGGACAGTCCTCGCTGCACTGGACCACAGACACTACACCACTCTGTTTGTGTATGGGTGTTTTGTCTTTAGGGAGGACCAGCTTCTGTCTGAGAGTCCTGCTGGGTTTGAAATGTACTGGGATCTTGTGTTTGTTGAAGATCCTTCTGAATTTCTCTGATACTCCAGCAGCATAAGGGATGACGATGTTTTTACGTCTGTTGTTCTCCTTTTTCTGTTTATTAGTGTGTTTTGTAGATTTCCTCTCTGACTTGACAAAAGCCCAGTTAGGATATCCACATGTTTGAAGAGCTTCTTGAATGTGTTTCAGTTCCTTTTCCTTCCCTTCTGTCTTCGTGGGGACGCATTCGGCCCGATGTTGTAAAGTTCTGATGACAGAGAGTTTGTGTTCCAGTGGATGGTGGGAGTCAAACAGAAGATACTGGTCTGTGTGGGTTGGTTTCCTGTAAACTTCAATGTTGAGGCTGTCCTCTCTCTCCATCTGAACCAAACAGTCCAAAAAAGGCAGCTTGTTGTCGTTTGCATCCTCTCTGGTGAACTTGATGTTGGTATCGACCGAGTTAATGTGTCTGGTGAACGCTTCTATTTCCTTGGCTTGGATTTTGACCCAGGTGTCATCCACATAACGGAACCAATGGCTTGGCTTTGTTCCCTCATAGGAGTGTAGGGCTCTCTGTTCCACTTCCTCCATGTAGAGATTGGCAACAATGGGTGACACTGGAGATCCCATGGCACAGCCGTGCTTCTGTCTGTAAAAACTGTCATTGAACTTGAAATAAGTGGTGGAGAGGCAGAGATCCAACAGGGTGCAGATCTGGTCTGGGGTGAAGTTGGTCCTGTTGATTAAGTCCTTGTCTTGTAGAAGTTGTTTTCTGACGGTTTCTACTGCTTCAGAGATGGGTATGCATGTGAAAAGAGAAGTCACATCATACGATACAAGGGTTTCTCCTGGGGTTAGTTTCAAGTGTTGAA